GCTAATTTTGGCATTTCTTTACTTTCATTTTTGCAGTTAGCTTACTTTTGTTCTCTGTTTTTACTGATTGGGGTTTTTTAGAAAAATTCCCCAAAATATTGGCTTTGAGGAACACAACTGCACAAGGAAATAATTTATATTTTGTGACTAATGTGGGATTCAGGTTCAAGTTCAGATACCTACAATACCCAGGTGTCTACACAAAACATGGTCATCTATACTCTTGTATTGGGTCTGGCTGAGATGGAGTTCATTTCCCCACAGCAGCCCTCACAGTTCTTTGCGTTGGTAGCTAGAAAGGTGTTAATAACACACCAGTGTTTTGGCCACTGTTGAGCATAGCTGGCACAGTATAAGCACTGTCTCTTCAACATTCCCCCCATCAGTAGGCTGGGTGTGGGCAAGATCCTGGGAGGGGGCACAACCAGGCAACCTGACCCAAACTAACCAAAGGGATATTCCATACCATATGGCATTAGCTCAGATATAAAAGCTAAGTGAAGAGGAGGAAGGGGGAGCATCCGTTATTTACAATGTTTGCCTTCTGGAGCTACACCTATAAGCTGAATCCTGCTTCCTGGGAAGTGGTTGAACATCTCTTGCTGATGGGAATTAGAGAATAAACCTACTTTTTTTTCCTCTTTGCTTGTGTGTGTGCAAACTTTTGCTTTTGCTTTAGTAATTTGCCTTGTCTCAACTTATGAGTCTTTTTCCATCTTATTTTCGCTCCCCTGTCCACCTGGGAAGGGGAGCAATAGAGCAGCTTGGTGGGCACCAAGGCCAACCCCCCACAACTTTCTCTCGAGTAGGTGGAACAGATTGCATTTCTGGGTTAGCAGTTACAGAATTTAAGTGGCAGTACAAAACAAATATCATCTATGGAGGATAGAACTTTTTTATTAATAGTATTGTCACTTAAAATATTGATACCCAGAAATGCAAAAGGCAACATTCATCTAATAAAGTAAATTATCCATTAGTATTGAAAATTCTGTATTGAAGGACTTAAAATTATTGTGAAGATTAAATATTTTTAAAAACCAGATGAAGTGAGAAACCCACATAGCATAAATGTTTTGAACAACAAAATGTGACAGGTTGCTTATAACTAACATGCCATGGGAAATCCCGAACAACGTCTTTGGTGTCTAGACTCCGCAAAAAGCAAAGGAATTAAGTAATACAGCAAGATACAAAATGAAGCAGCATACTGAAACTACAAAATGAAGGAAGCCAAAAGACGCTGACCAATACAGAAAACTTAGACATACATAGGGATCAAAAATCTCATATAGGATACACAACCAGGCTTAAGGAAAACATTTGTGTCTGAAGGCGCACAAACCTGAACCATTATCAGCCTCATCCTTTCTTTCAGAGATTTGGAAAAAAGTGAGATTTTTCTAGAACATAAATAAAAGATGAGCTTTATCTTAGTAAAGTTGCCTGGTGATTACTACACACTCTTCTCATTTCTACTTTACTCAGATGTGTGAATTCAATGTCCTCCTTTGTTTGAAAGAACTCAAATATATTACTTCAATTTCTAGTGGCATGTACTGGAGAAAGAAGTAAAGGTATGGGATAGGGAAAAGGGAGGTGTAGTACATTTTTTTCATGCACTGAAATCCTAAGAAGTGTCAAGAATAATTTTTCCGGGAGAACAATATTGAAGCTCATTAACTAGATATTTCACTTTGTCCGGACAGACATCTAAAGCAAATTAATAGTTTAAAAATATTGTGAATAGAATTAATTTTGAACATTTGAAGTTTCTCATGCTTAAGGCATTCCATCTTAATGAATTTGGCATTATTATTATTTGCACTACATAATATATTGAAATATGTTGCTCATGGTATGCTGTCAAAGAACTAAAAGAATGAAACACAAACCACAAATATTAATATATTTCCCACAGATAGAGACTGGAGCATGAGATATCTATTGTAATTGGGCAGCAATATTGCTACTATTCTGATTCTATTATCATCATTTCTCATTGACAAGTTGTTGTTAGTTCACTGATTTATTTGTATACTGTTGTCCAAAATACCGTTGAAGTGCTCTTTATAGACAAGGTCTAATCAGAGAAAAAATAGTGCTACAGACTGCAATATCTATGAAGATCACAGTCAATGGAAACTACATTTTTTTACAAGTGTCTGCCCGTGTTTTTTTAGAAAAAGAAAATTCAGTCTTAAATTACAATATACTTAATTGAGTATACTTTTCATGTCTAAATGCTGTTTGTTATTAAGCAACAAGAAAGTAATCAATACAGAGGTACTATTCTAAGGTGAGATTACAGACAACAATAATTTTTGTTTCACATTAAGTTGATGCCAATTTCGAGATTCCATCAAAGCTACTGTCAGTCCTTGCTGTCACTACATACATAGTAAACTACCTCCCTTTAGGATAAATATTACTTTATACTCTATTGGCTATTTGAAGTGTGTACAATCAGATTGAGCTCATGATGCAAAATTAATCTGAAATCGATGCAATACTGCAGCTGATTTAAAATAACTTTAGATCAAGAGTTGTCAGTGTAGTGATGCATCTCAGGTTATCTTATATTTGTGATGAAAAAGGTATCTGTTTTTTTCTGTATATGTAACCATGGTATTAATACGGAAAGAAAAAGTGTGTGGTTGTGTAGCTTCTGCCCACCACATGACAAAAACCATGCATCATACAGTAAAATCAGGATGGGATAGAGGAGGGTATCAATGGGACTTTTTACTGTCTGTGATTTAACAAGAAAAGATGATTAAGGACACATTTTCATTTGCTATAAACTATGGTGTTTCACTTAAGTCTAAAGTGTGGAATTGATCTCTGCAACAGTTTATAGCAGCTGATTATTTAGCTGTTAACACCTGATTCTGATCTTCCTTTGCACCAGTAACTGAATGGCTGTGAAAGTAGGCTGATTTATAAGCATGTAAGCAAGCTTAAAAGCAGAGCCATAGTCCTTACAAGTATATTAGCAAAGCAGAGAAGTAACACAAACACTGTTTCTCCTAAGCTATTTTTATGGTTCCCAAATCTGCATGTGCTGAGGCTCTCATATATGTTAATAAATTTATCCTCACAAAGTTTATTTGAGAAAAGGGAATATTTTTAGGTTCTTCAAACAATTGTTGCTGTGGAAAAGAATCAGATGTATTAAATGTCAAGCACCAACAATTTTATTCCCAATATTACTAAAAATTCATAGTCCTCACAAATGAGAAATGAAAGGCTAAATTCAGTAATGGTCTCTCAATGTCAGTTCAATGCTGTGTGAGTCAGTGTCCCACAGAAAAGCATTTGCAGGTTTTTTAGAGCAGTCATTCTTATCCTTTTTGGAGTTACCTTCAGTATAATGATCTTCTCACCATCGACATACCCCATCTCTCTGTGACTTTAGCAAGGGCTCTATCATTGTTCCCTTCTCATTTTGCAGGATGCAGTTCTTTGGCAGGAAATTAGTGGAATAAGTGGAACCATGTTAGTGCATCCACTGAGACAGTTTAGCTAATCCTATTTTTTCCAATTCCCTGGACAGAAAAAAATGTTATGGATTGTATTGTCCTATATCTTGAGCTGCACCACTTGTTTCTGTGCTCTGACATAACAGAATAGATGCCACCATTTATATTTGGCATGGAGAAGCAATGAAGAACTGATATGCCATGTGAGCTGTGAAGGCTGGAATAGCCAGTTTGGAGAGAAATGCTACCTCATATTTCAGATGTGTTGAGAATCCACATGTACTAGAAGGGCAAAGGATGAGTCAATCAAAGTTGCAAAGAACTACCTCACCTCCCCAGGTACCCTTTTATACAATAGCTATGAGGCTTTGGAATCTGAGGATAAGGGAAATGAGAATGTGGATGAAGGTACATCTAGACTGAAGATGCTCTACCTAGGGAAGGGCAGCCTAGCCTTCGCATTACAACCTCCTCAATCAAGAAAGAAGAAAGGTAGTAATCATTGGTGACCCCCTTTAGAGAAGAATGAAGGGCCCAATATGCCAATCAGACCCAACACATACGAAAGTGAGCTGCCTCCTTTGGGTCCAGGTAAAAACAATCAGCAAGAAACTTCCCAGCTTGGTACGGCCCACTGGCTATTATCCACTACTGGTTTCCCAGGTGTATACTGGTGATGTCCCAGGAAGGAGCCTGCGGACAATCAAAAGGGACCTCAGGGACTTGGCACAACTTGTCAAGGAACCTGGAGCATGAGTTATATTCCCTTCTGTCCTGCCAGTTGCAGGGAATGATGGGGCAAGAAATGAGAAAATCATATCTGGCTTCAAGACTGGTGTTAGCAGCAGAATTTTGGGCTTTTGGTCATGTACTGATTTATATGACACTGAGCCTGCCAATAAGAGATGGTGTCCACCTGGATCAAAGGGGAAAAAGGATCTTAGGATAGGAGTTAGCAGGGCTTATTGAAAAAACTTTAAACTAGATTTGAAGGGGGGATGGGGACATAGCAGAGTTCAGCAGAGATAAGTTTGGGAAAGAACTATAGCAGCCACATAAGTAGCAAAAGGAGGGTTAAGAGGAGATACCTCCAGCAAGTACAAACTCTGAAGATGTAACCTCAAGATAGGACTATGGGCTGTCCATTTACACTCTCAATGGGATATTGACACAATCAAATACTTCTGTAAAGTGCCTGTACACCAATGTATGCAGCATGGGGAACAAACAAGAGGGACTAGAGATCTGTGAAGTCACAAGACTGTTCTCACTGCAATTATGGAGATATGGTGGGTGAACTCACATGACTGGAATGTTGTCACGAAGGGCTACACAATGGTCAGGAAAGACAGACCAGGAAGTCACAATGGTGGAGGTGACACTTGGAATGTGACACTTGTAATGTGACACTCAGATGTTCCAAGTGTTACCTATGTGAGGCGACACTTGGAATGTATCAAGCTCTGTCTTGAGGTGGATGACGAGTGAGTTGAGAGTTTATGGGTTAGTATGAAAGGGCAGGTTAATAAGAGTGACACTGTTGTGGGTGTGTGCTATTGGCCACCTGAGCACCAGGAGGAAGTGTGTGAGTCCTTCAACAGGCAGCTTGAAGGATCCTCAAGTCACAGGCACTGGTTCTTTTGTGGAACTTAACTCTGACATCTACTGAAGAAGCTACACAGGGAAGCAAAAAGAGTCCAGGAGGTTCCTGGAAAGCTTGATGATAACATTTTGACACAGGTAGTGGAGGATACCACAAGGAATGGTGTACTGCTTGATCTCATACTAACAAAGAGGGAAGACCTTGTTGGAGATGTGATGGTTGGAGGCAGCCTTGGATATAGTGACCATGGGATTGTGGAGTTTTGTATTGGGTAAGGAGGAAGCAGGGAAGCAAGTGAGATTTTAACTGGGCACTTCAGGAGAGCTGACTTATCCTCTTTTAGGTTCCCTGGGAAGAATCCCATGGGAACAGGACCTGCAGGGAAAAGGGCTCCAAGAAAGCTAATTGATCCTCCAAGGATCCTTCAGGCTCAATGATGCATCCAGATGAACAAGAAAATGGGTAAATGGGGCAACGTTCAACCCATATGGATGAACTACTCAAGTATAAGCAGGAAATACACAGGAGGCTGAACAAGATCAAACCATGTAGAATGAACATAGAGAGGTTAGAGTAAGTAGGAATGAGACAAGGAAGGCCAAAGGCTACCTGCAATTAAATCTGGTGAAGGATGTCAAGGACAAGAAGAAGGTCTTCTTTAAATACATCAATAAAAAAGGAAAACTAAGGATAATGTTGGGCCCATTACTAAATGGAGGGAGGGGCCCTGGTGACAGAGGAGGCAGAGAAAGTACAGTTATTAGAATCATAGAATCGATTGGGTTAGAAAAGACCTCCGAGATCATCGAGTCCAACCCTTGGTCCAAATCCAGTCCATTTACTAGATCATGGCACTCAGTGCCATGTCCAATCTGCGTTTAAAAATCTCCAGGGATGGTGAATCCACCACCTCTCTGGGCAGCCCATTCCAATGCCTGATCACTCTCTCTGTAAAGAATTTTCTCCTGAAATCCAACTTAAATTTCCCCTGGCGGAGCTTAAGCCCGTACCCCCTTGTCCTATTGCTGAGTGCCTGAGAGAAGAGATCAACCCCAACCTGGTTAGAACTTCCCTTCAGGTAGTTATAGACGGTGACGAGGTCACCTCTGAGCCTCCTCTTCTCCAGGCTAAACAACCCCAGCTCCCTCAGCCTCTCCCCATAGGACTTATGCTCCAGTCCCTTCACCAGCCTTGTTGCTCATCTCTGGACCCGTTCCAGCACCTCAATATCCTTTCTGAACTGAGGGGCCCAGAACTGAACACAATACTCAAGGTGTGGCCTCACCAACGCAGAGTACAGGGGAAGGATCACTTCCCTGCTCCTGCTGGCCACGCTATTTTTGATACAGGACAAGATCCCATTAGCCTTCTTGGGCACCTGGGCACACTGTTGGCTCATGTTGAGCTTCCTGTCAATTAGTACCCCCAGGTCCCTTTCTACCTGGCTGCTTTCCAACCACTCTGTGCCCAGCCTGTAGCGCTACATGGGGTTGTTGTGGCCAAAGTGCGGGACCCGGCACTTGGCTTTATTGAACTTCATCCCATTGGAATCAACCCATCTCTCAAGTCTATCCAGATCCCTCTGCAGAGCCCTCCTGGTTCTTTGCATCAGGAATCTCTGGCTCAACCCTCAGGAATCTCTGTCTCAAGAAACCAAGGTAAAGGAATGTTGGAAGAAAGACTTTCCCTTGGTGAAGGAGGACTGAGTTAGAGAACATCTAGGTAAACCTGACACCCACAAGTCCATGGGCCCTGACGAGATACATCCACTAGTGCTGAGAGAGCTGGTGGGTACCATATTAAGGCCACTTATGATCATATTTGAAAAGTTGTGATGATCAGGAGAGGTGGCTGAGGACTGGAAGAAAGCAACTGTTACCCTGGTCTTTAAAAAAGGGCAAGAAGGAGGACCCAGGAAACTATCGACCAGTCAGCCACACCTCAGTGTCTGGAAAGATGATGGAGTGCCTCATTCTGGAGGTCATCTCCATCCACATGGAGGACAAGAAGGTGGTCAGGACTAGTCAGCATGGATTAACTATAGGTTATCCTTTATACTTGACCAACGTGATTGTCTTCTTCAGTGAAATAACTACCTGGATGGATGACGGGAGAGAGCAGTGGGTATTTTCTAAGGCTTTCGACACTGTCTCTCACAATGTCCTCATAGACAAACTCAGGAAGTGTGGACTGGATGAGTGAACAATGAGTGGATTGAGAACTGGCTGAATGGCAGATCCCAGAGGGTTGTAATCAGTGTCAAAAGGTCTAGTTGAAGGCCTGCTACTAGTGGTGTCCCAAAAGGTTCAATATTGGGCCCAATATTGTTTAGCTTGTTCATCAGTGACTTGGATGAAGGCGCAGACCTCCTCAGCAAGTTCACTGATAAAACAAAGCTGGGTGAAGTAGCCAATACCCTAGAGAGCTGTGCAGTCCTTCAGAAAGACCTCGATAGGCTGGAGAGGTGGATAGAGCAGAACCTTCTAAAATTCAACAAATGCAAGAGTAGGGGCCTGCACCTGGTGATGAATAATGCCGTGCACTATTACAGACTGGGGGCTGACCTGCTTGAAAGAAACTCTGAAGAGAACCTGGGGGTTCTGGTGGACAGCAAGCTGTCCATGAGCCAGCAGTGTGCTTCTTGTGGCAAAGAAGGTCAATGGTATCCTGGAGTCCATTAGGACAAGCATTTCCAGCAGGTTGAGGGAGGTGATCCTGCCCCTCTACTCAGCCCCAGTGAGGCCACATCTGGAGTGCTGTGTCCAGTTCTGGGCTAATCAGTCAAGAGAGATACAGACCTCCTGGAGCTCCAGCAGAGGTCCAGCAGAGGGTGCAAAAGATGATTAAGGGACTGGAGCATCTCTCTTATGAGGAGAGACCAAGGGAACTGGGACTGTTCAGCCTTGAGAAAAGACAACTGATAGGGCACCTCATCAATGTCTATTAAGTGTCTAAAGGGAGGGTGTCAAGTGGATGGAGTCAGGATCTTCTTGGTGGTGGCAAGCAATACAGCGTAAGAGGCAGCAGGTAGAAACTGATGCACAAGAAGTTCCAGATGAATACGAGGAAGAATTTTACTGTACAGGTGACTGCATACTGGAACAAGTTGCCCAGAGAAGTTGTGGAGTCTCCCTCACTGGAGATATTCAAGAACCATCTGAATGCAATTCAGTGCTTGAGCAGAGGCGTTGGACCCAATGACCCACTGTGAACCCTTCCAACCTTACCCATTGATTCCATGAACAACTCAAGTGGCTGAACTGGGGAACAAGTGGCAGATGGATAACTCTAGGTTTAATTTTGATACCCTAATTTAGATACCTTAAAGGCCTTGTATGAAGATTTTTACCAATTTTTGATGAAGTCACTGCAAACTGGCCAAAAGCATATCTATGAAGAAGATGGTAATTTTTTCCACATTAGTTTCTTGCCCCAGGGCAGACATTTTTTATTTGTGTCAGTCATCCACACATAGATATCTCATGCCATTTCAGATGCCCTCAGTTGTCCAATATATCTCCTTCACAAGGCTGGTACACAGAGAGATGTGTGCTTTTCTGTAGTATGAGTTGCAATACACACAAGGAAGCATTACACTCAACTCAATTGTCGGTCAGATTGTAGGCCAGTCACTAAAATGTCTAGGCTTCAGTACAAAGGAATAATTCATTTAGGAAAGACAAAAAACAGCTTAATCATACTTGCCCTCCATAACTGCAGGTTTTTCTATACAACTGTACTTCTTCATCATATCTGTCACTATCGCCTTCTATGAAATTAGCTTGGAGATACATGGTGAAATGAAAAAGGTGCATTGTGCTCAATTCCAGAGTCTCCATCAACTTTGCCAAGATCTTGGACAGAGCCTGGTGTTAGTTACAGTCAAGCTATGTGCTGGGTTGATCGAGCAGACAGAAAGATCACAGGAAATATCCCTCTATGCTTATACAGATGGGTGTACGGCTGGCAAAGTGGGTTTTTTTTTGTGTTGATGATGACAATGACTGTATGAATGTGCCTGCTGGCTATCTAGAAATAAGCAGATGAATTGTGTGACAGGAGGAGGCACTGACTGTTGTGACTGTATACATGAGAGACACAAGGCTGAGTTTCTGTGTACGGATGTCCGGGTACAGCTACCCGGCATCTGTGAGCTTCCTGTGTTTTGTGTCAGGGTGATAGACAGATGTCTACAACGAATGAAAACAAATCAGAGTAAAGAGAAACCATAAATGAGAACTCAGACATCTAGACTTTGACTTTTAGTCTGATAAATCGCACTCAGTGTCACAGTTTAGTACATTTTCAAGGTAAATTTTTGTCTTTAAGAGGTCTTTGTAAAGCTGAAATATTTTTTCATGTAAATCTAGAAAACCTCACCACTTGGTATTATTCACAGTTGTCTTTTAAAATGAAAATCGGTGTTAAATTTCTTGGTCATTGAACAGTCATTGTTTCTTTGTAATTAACCTTGGAAAAGTGTTCTTTATCTTTCTGGATTTACCTAGTGTTCTGAGACCTACAGAAAATTAATTTCTCAGTTAATTTAAAAAAAAGTCCAAATGACTGTTGTTACTAACCAATAAATATCTTTTTATTCCATATTGGTACCTAAATCATCCAGTTTATAAGAAGACTCCAGAAATACCTATGTCATTAGAAATAAGAGTATCCAGCTATAAGCTAGCAATGGAGATAAAGTTCATTCAGAAAGAGATTAGATTTTATCTGTGCTTCATCATCTCACAGAGTAGCTATACATTTTTACTAACTAGGAAGCCAAGAGCAACCCAGGTATCTCAATAAAACATTTAAAGTTAACGATGTGATTCAATCCATAAGCTTTTTAGCCCCCCACTAAGCCAACACTATTTCTCTATAAGACCCGAGAATAATGATTTATACACACTGCATAGTGGAATATATAATCTTAAAGGTTGATTACTTTCCTAACAAGGTGATTTGAAGCTTACAGTAGCTACATGCAACTCATGATGAAAACTGCTGTCAAACACGTTACAGAAGCTTCATACACTTTCAGAAACCTTAAGACCAATTATAATACTATAAGCACTGCAAATATTAAAAGAACTAACACTTGGTGATAGTTTTCAAACTGAGCCTAAAATAAAATTGTTATGCAAAAGCAGTTCTCAAGAACTATGATCTTACCTGTGGAGTAAGAGACGGAGGTGTTTACTACAGGTTTACAGATGAAGGAGAGATGTGATCTCTGAAGGATTTCAGGTTTGTCACTTATTTTGAGAAACCAAAGGTTTCTTCAACATTTCTTTAATTAACTTAGTTTCTCATTTAATGAAAAAAGTAACCAAATCCAACTGCATACAAGTGTCAATGTTTAAGTATTTTTTGCATGAATGTTTGTTACTGAGTATTTCAAAGAGGAACAGAAATGAGAATGAAATTGTAAGTTATTAAAATTGCAACTTATGTTTGATAGCATTCGTATATCAAAATATATATGGAACTAGGATTTAGAAAACAAAACAAAACAAAACAACATCCTTATATATCATTCACCTTCTGAACTGATCTTATGGCATGAGCTCATGTTATGGATCTCAAGATTTCAATATGTTGAAACAGAGTCTAGAAAAGGAGGCCCATCTCTGTTCTCATTTTTAAGAATAACTTGTATAGTTTTAAAGA